TTCCCTACAAATTGGCGCCGCAACATCTGTTCCTCAACTCTCCTTCTACCAAGTTTGGAAGAACTGGTCTATCTCATATATTAACTACTTCCAGATTAATGTAAACCTTTCTGATCATAATTTTCATCACCTGCAGAAGATTATATATATTAAGATAATTTTCAAAAATATAGTGCTTATGATTACATTACTAATTGGTCCGTAAGTTCAAACTTGATTAACCACTAACTTGTCTCACTTTGGACTGTATACATATAGTTCCGGTTATGACCTTAATTAGTAATAGTTATATTATACATATGCTTATATTAAATATATTTAGAGGAACATATTATATATATATATATTTATTTATAAGAGGTTAAGATAAATTAATTAATGATTTGACTAGTGTCACCTAAATGCATATTATAATTTCCATGAACTTCTAATTTGTGCGCTGTGGACAAGTGATCAGCTCGTATTATCACGAGATGAACTATCAAAAATAAATAAATAAATAAATAAAAGTTCCATAAACAGATTAATTTGGTTGGTAAACACAATTGATGGGGATGAAATTTTTGTCTATACGGTCCATTTAGGAACATACCCAATGATTTGTGGGTTGCTGCCTGTTGGTCTTGAGATGCATTATAGCTAGTTGGTGAACTCCATTATACATCAGAGTATATATCCTTATGATTGTGAAGATTATTGAATTGACCACTCATATATAATTTTGTATATGTGTGTGGCTAATATATAATTTATATATATATATATGTATATGTATATCAGCTTTAAGTGGGCCGCAAAATACCAAAAAAAAAGTTTTCAAAGAAAAAAAAAATAGAGGAAACTTCTTATTATTCATGGATAAAAATTTTATCAAAATGCAAAAAAAAAAAAAAAAAAAAAAAAAAACCCTTTCCCAGAACCATGCTTCCAACTCAAGTAATTAGACTTAGAAAACATAGGATCTGACAACAACAACCTCAGAAAAAATAAATAAAAAATAAGAGAAGAAAAAGAAAAAAGGGGGTCAAAATATTGCTTTAATAAGCTGATGAAATATTACTAGCGAGATTAATAGCAATAATTTGGTTCCAGGCTAATTAAATGCAAACAAATAATACAAAGCCAGTTAAAATGGACGGCCAATTTTCAGTTTGCCATTAATGTTTCTTCTTGAATTCTAGCTAGGATCTGGTAAACCGCCGTCGCGATATCGTCGACGGATGTAAGCTTGCAGTCGTCCTCTACCTGCTCAAAGATCCCATAAAAAAATTAATTATAATTTTAAAGGAACATTTCTGACTTTAAAACTCTTAAAGTTAACTTAACATTAAAATATTTATTTAATTTAATATTCGATGCGGGAAAATTTTTTTTTTTTTTCACTTTAAAACTAATTTTAAAAAAGTGAGATTTTTTATTTTGTAGTTTTTTTATTGATTTTTTTTTTGGGGGGTTACCTTGACACTGAGAGAATAGAGGACAATTGCTTGTTCCGTTGTGACATTGAGGTGAAGAACCGTGAGCCGCATGCTCTGCAGGCCAGAGACCATCTTCAGCAGCTGCTTCGGCCGCCTTTTCGATCTTATCTTAATGTTGGCGTGGCTCTCGACCATCGTCACCTCGATATCCGCGATGGCGGACGATGTCTCGCCCGTGCCGGCCATGGCTACTGGGTTACTATCGTGGTAAGTTTTACTAGTACCCGAGCTGGTCGAGTACTGCGGGAAGGTGAAGAACTCGGAGAAAGGCGCGTCGGAGACTCCGCCATCGGAACCCTGCCTTTTGATTTCCTTTTGAACACCAAGGAACTGTACTTGTTGCTCTAGCTCCTTCACAAAGTTAATCGCTCCTCCGATAATTGATGCTTGGTCGCCCTGTTAAAAAACAACGGGAATCATATTTTAATTATATAATTTAGAAAACTCGATAAAGAACTAACAGTTGAGAAATATTTGCACAGTTTAGAAAAGAAGAAAGAAGAAGAAGAAATAAAAAAAAAATGTTTTAGATAGAGAGAAAATTAATTAATGAATACCCTTTGGACGTAAGAGTCTGGCATTAGGGATCGGAGAACCGCGAGGTACTCATTCATTTGCTTTCTTCTGTTTCTCTCAACGGCAATGTGGGTCATTCTCTGATTCTCGATGTCTTCTTTGTTCTTTCTACTCCTGGAACGGCGTCGTTTTGGGCGAGTACTGCTTGTGATCGGCATGATCATCGCATCGGTCGATAAATCGAACGGCTGGAAATCGCCGTTGGCGTTAACTGTAGTAGTACCGTCGGGAGAAGGAACAGTACTGGAGAGGTGGAGGTCGTTGAAATGTGGAACCATTGAAGAAGCAGATGGGTTCCAATTATGATGATCTCCATAAGGGGTTGTACAAGTAGTAGTACTACTTTCTGTTTGGTTCTCGAGAAAATCGAAAGAATTACCTGCAGATTGCTCTTGAATATTATGATGATCATGATCATGGTCTTTCTCTAAGCTGATCAAACCATCATAGCTCCAATTATTACTCCCTCCTAACATGTTGTAGGCGCTATAGCTAAATGGGTTTTGTGGGAAAACAACAGCTTCTAGTGCCATTCTCTCTCTCTCTCTCTCTCTCTCTCTCTCTCTCTAATATATTAAGAAGTTATTAGAAGAAAAACTTAAAGAGTAGTAAGGAAGAGAGTCTCTTCTTTGGGTATGGGTCCTTTTTGGATGGAGAAATTGAGCTTTTTAAAGAGGATATATCCGATGATAAAAACAAATTACATCTACAGCGCATCACACGTGAAATAAAGTTAAACTTATTGCAAGATTGGAAAACATGAATAAAATACACACACACACACACACACACACATACATATGATTACACTTTTATTATAATGTCTGACATAAATATAATAACATAAGAACATGCTAGTAATTCATTAGTGCTAATATATAATATAATAACATGCACTAATATATATTATAATGTGTGACATAAATATAAGATATAGTGACATAGTGCTAATACTATTATATAGTGACTGGTATAAGATGTGTTTTCCTTTTAAAATGGCTGCAAAAATATAATATATATATATATATATATATATATATGCACAAATTTATCGACTCAGAAGATTCATCAACTAAAACTAACTCTATAACGAGGTTTTTAATTAAGGGGCACATGTCTTAATTAATACAATACGGATTGTAAAATAAATTCCAATATTAAGCGCTAAAGTATTTTTAACTCGACCGTGGTCTTATATTGGTTTCTATATTTTGTCACACTATCTGGTGGACCGCGAAGGAGATAGTCCAATAGATTTCATTAAATATACAGCTGTAATTCAATGAGGGGAAAAACAAAAAAAAAAAAAAAATACAAAAAACAAACCGTGTAAAGAAATTTGAAAAATGTGACTTATTTGTCGCCTTGATACATACTTAACAACAAATTAAAACTGACGATAACCATTGACTTGATTACATTCACGTACTCATTTAAAAGTAATCCAAATTAAAATATTCTAGACACCAAACACTTACAATTGCTATGATTTTTTTTTTTTGGGGGTGGGTGGGGGAATAATCAAATTATATTTTACCCAAGATAGAATAATTTTAACCACAACATATACATATATAAGATAAAGTTGAGAACCGCCGTACACCTTAGATTCTCAGTTGCATGTGAAGAACCAAATATTGACTCGTAAGGAAACCAAAAAAAAAAAATACAATAATTGAGATCTTTGGAAAGGCATGGAAAACGATCCATATGGATATATACACATATACATACACATATATATGTGTGTGTGTGTGTGGATGGAAGCTCTCTGATTGAAGCAATAAAAACTAAAGAGGACAAGGGAAGGCCATGTTGACCATATAATGTAAGTTAATAGGGTTGCAATTGGGACGTACAAACTGCACATTGGGAAAGAGAAGATGTGAGAAGGAAAAGGCTGATCTAAAACGCAGAGATTCTTGCGAAAGTTCACAAGAGAAAGGCCTAATATAAGAGCCTTGCTAAATTGTCAGAGATATGTCTCTGATCCAATGCAAACATCCAACCTATAGCTACATTTCCAGCCAGAAAAAAAAAAAAAAGGAACATTTGTTTTTGGTCCAAGCCAAAAATAATTGAAACACACATGCACATATCTAGCTAGATAGATCACATGCACGTATGTTCATTTGCTCCTAATTATTTAATTGCTCGCGGGTTTCTGCCTTTGTTTATTTACTGCTCTTTTCGATGGTAAAAAATAATCGCCGCATTTCAAAGATGACGACTTTAGATTGTCATATTTTTTTAATGACTGTTATTCGTCAAATCCACTTTTTATACCAATGATTTTTTGTAAGCATTGATAAGTCTTGATACTTACTCATTCTTCAACTTCTATGATTTTCTTTTTCCTTCTATACCAGGCAGTCGTGTTTACACACATACATAAACTGTGAGGTTTAATGTAAGAGACCGTTTATACATCCCAACCAGATTAACATCCATTAACTTATCTTATCCTATACCAAAAACCTCACTCAATAATCAACAATATTAAATAAAAAAGAAAAGTCCACACAATCTTAATTTGTTAATATTTTTGATAAATATTTGTAGAGCTAGCTAAAAGGTTTGTTGTGCACATGCATTGTATAGAACCTATATGTTTTCCCTTCTTTTCTTGATCTAATTTCATATATTCGGTTCATATTTTCTGACTAGATGAGAACTTAATCATTCTGTTGGGAAATATATACATTATGATCATCAATAACTCCACATTTTTTTATTAATTCAAGTATTTGTCATTACCCTCAGTACTTTTAATTCAATCTTTAAAGGGTAGAAATGTGATGTAGAACAATTAACTAATAGATCAACATTTCAAAAGAAATAAATAAAATCATGAACAGAATTGATCCCTATTTGCAGCCCCTAAATTATATTGTTTAATTATATGTATAGCCTTTTGATAGACCGATATAAGATATCAATTTAGATAATCCAAAAGAGAAGAAAAAGTAATTAGCTCTAGAAGACCAGTTGAAAAGAAAATATGATTGTTTAATTATTAAACAAAAAATAATGGAAACAGAAAAAACCCTAGCTACTCCAACAACGAAGGACTAAACTCCAATGACCTTATTTCTTAAGTTATAGTTGGTAGAATTAATATAATATATATTGACGTGTGTATACAAGAGAAGCATGAACCTGATATCATTTAGTTAAAAAATGCCAGCCATAATTAATTTCGCCAGCCGAATCTAAACCATTAAAAAATGGCTTAGACCCAACTGGCGCTCGTTTGAATGTATCTAATATATTCTTTTCATAGAGATACGATGACAATTAAGTTTCCAAACTCAATTTGGATGGGTCAAATTTTCAATTGGTTTTGTCTTATACCTTATAATATATATATATATATATATATATATCATAACTGAAAGCATCTAGATGGATACAAAGAAATATTATTAAGCAACAAACAGTATTATTATTATTATTATTATTATTATTATTATTATTATTATTATTAATGATGTTAATTTGTTTTGTTCAGGGTATGCTTACTGTAGCAAACGACACGCCATGTATGTGACGTGTGCTCTATATTTTGTTTTAGTTTGGAGGGTCATAATATATAAATTATAAGTAGCTAAATTTAGATTACTGTGCTTTTTATAGATCAAACTAAGACTCTTCAAAATCAGGGCACATATGAGAGATCTGTACATATGACAAAGTACTTGGCACTCATGTAAGACTAGTATTTTCAATACTTGAGGAAATTCAATTAAATTAAATAAAAAAAAAACACATTATGATAAAAGGAAATATACAACCTCACATGTGTAGAATTGTGTATATGAAAATTACTCTATGAAGACTTATCCACTCGGACCATTAATTTCAGATCTTTTGTCTTACTAATATGCACGCATATATAGATGTTATATAGCCACGAAAATTATAACACGGATTATTAATATAAAAGGGTTATATGTGAAAAACGTGTTCTACCTTTAATTCAGATCAAATAATATAGACTGCTATGCTCTCACCAGTAAGAACTAATTTGAAAAAGAAGGTAACTGCCAAGACGAAAATTGAGTCATCTATATGTATTTATGTGTCAGTAGATGTTTGTATTTGTGATTCTGTGAAAAGACTGAGGAACTAAGAAAGCTTGGTCCGAAGTCTGACTTACACAATTCAAATGCAACGCTAATTAATTTGTGGACCAAATCAGTGAAATTTCCGTAAAAAGAAGAAAAAAAGGACCCCATGTAAGAATCATCTAAGATTGAGCAGGTAATTAATCCACTAGTACTAATTATAATAAAGTGGTGTGAAAAGTGGCTGTATTTCGGGCTAGGGCACCGGCCAATTGACCATTGTATTAGGCGTCTTATTAGGCCGGTTTTCGTAATGATCTTAATTAGATAATTAGTAATTATCATACTTTTCAAGAATTAATGAGAAGAAGACCCTAACTATGGATATTTCCGGCGTCGTGATATGATAAGGCACCTAAATATAAACTTAATTCTTAAGGTTTTTTTTTTTTTTTTTTGTCATCGGATTTCTTTTGAAGATTAGGTCGTTAATGCACTCTATTCCCTCTATTAGGTTTTTCTGATCTTGGGATTTTACTGAGAGAGGGATTTAATAAGATTTTTCTCTAATAAAGAAACTAGAACACCTAAATAGCTGTGTCTCTGGTTCTTCTTCTTCTTGTTTTTTTTTTTTTTTTTTTTTTAATCTCCATGCTTGCTTTTTGTACATTGGTGATGTTTTAATCTTTTGATTTCTCGTACTTTTTCCTTTTATTAATATCTAAGTTGAGGGTATGGTGTGGGATGAGAGACGTTGCAGGTGTTAATTAGTTGGGATGTTCTTTCTTCCTATGATGATAGTTATCCGCTTTCGTTTTTTTTTTTTTTTAATTTATTCTTTTTTAGAAAAAAAAAAAAAAAACAGAATAATAGACCCTACTTATGAAAAATATGGATGGGGACGACCAATCATCATAATTCTCTTTTAATCATTTTTCTCCTTTTCGTAATCAAAGTCGACGTTGATCATAATCAACATATATAACATGCATATTTCGTTTCTTCTCTTATTTGTGCAAATAACATCTTGTCAAATTAATCAGTGAGTAATATTTTCGGAGTGAAATAAATATTAGAGACCACTTTTTTGTGTTTCTTCGATTGTTAAAACTTCAAATATATGAACATATATATGCCGCGTTACATACGGAGTCGGTGAGATGTATTAATTAAGCGATATATATAGTTAGACCCAACTGTAATTCGGTCATAGGTTTTGAAGTTGGGGAAAGATTTTTATTTGTTACATGAATTTCGATTGTGGTAGAGAAATATTAGTACCAAAAACTTTGTCAGTATCAGGTCGAGATCAGGTAGTGGATTTGTGGAAACAAATATATTTTCAAAGGATTCAGATTTTGTTGTTGCTGTGGTGGGGGAGACATGATCACGCCATATGGTCTATGTTTAGGCTTAATTTGTCCCTTAATTTCAAATCAATTTGCACAGTTAGGTTCCCCAATAAT